TGGATACCTTTTTTTTTTTTCTTTTTTTTTTTTTTTCTATTCCGTATAGCGGCCAGAAAAGTGATAGCATCGGAGAGCGAAGGTCACATATTTTTGCAAGTGCGCCCGTGTGAAAAGCACGATCCTTAAACTGCACTCTGGTGCGGTTATTGTTCCACGACAGATTTCTCCAGATCTCGGGTTGTTTTTCCCTCGTCTCGCGCACAAACACACGGGTGCAGTATATATTATTTTTCCCACAATGTGTGCATATAATATATATATATACCTATACTTGACTCCCTTTTCGCGCAGCTGACGTTCAGTTGTACATGTAATATACGCGAAAGTATAATATGAAAAATCAAACAAAATCTCCTTTGCGTTTCAATTTCATTAGCTCGGACGAGTGAAAGTACTTACGCCAGCGTAGTTTTTTTTTTCTTTTCTTTTTGTTTTCCCTCTCGTGTGAATGAATCGAGCTAAAAATTTTCTCAGCGCCTCCCCCCCACCTTAACGTTTACTTGTTGGATAGACGTTGCGTGCATTGTGTATACGGCACCGATGTGCAGATGAGAAAACGCAAAAGTACATGTTACAATCCAAGCTGTGTACCCAAGTGCAGGAGATATTATATCCCCTGGCGTGTATATATACGTTGCAAAAAAAAAAGAGGGGCTCCTATATAATTGTGGCCTCCGTAACACCATATATCAGATTTTGACGATGCGGCAACGGCGCAGCGCAGAGAGACTCCCTTTCTATCTTTATGTACCTATTTACTGCGCATTTCATAATTTTCCTCCTCCTCGAAGTGTATAGGTATATTTTGGTCGAAAGTTTACAAAAAGTCCCCCTTGATGTCCCCCTCAATTGTATTTAGCCGCGATTCGGGACAAAATAATGAAAACCCACGCGCTGGTAACGAAAGTTGGCCATGTCGATCATGCACATCTAAATACTAACGTTGCACATGATGGCCACGGAATCGGCGGACCAATGACTCTCTCATGATTATTATTATTTTTCTCGGAGAAAAACCCTGTATATATACAGTCGAATCTTTTTATGTGCCGTCAGGTAACTGTAATATCCGAGCAAATTGTGAATATTATATATAAAAAAGCTTTTTTAAGCACAACTGCACGCAGCCTAAGCAAATGTAAATCGTGGGCATTCCGTCTCAATGAGATAAAAAAAGAAAAAAAAAGAGTATCAAGTATACCGATGATAAAAATACACAACCTCGCAGGCATGCGAGTATAATATAATTATATATACTATGTATGTATAAATCGATCGAGCAAACACTCCCGCGCGCACACAATCTCGGCAACGCTTCCCAACAGCCAATCAGCGTGCAAATGCACAGCTGCACGTGGAGAGGGAACGTGTGTATATCTTATCAAAGAGCCGTAAATATGGAAACGCCGGGGTCACAGATGCATATCGCGCGTAAAGAGTCACGCATACGTGTATGTGCGAGAATCTCGAGTAAGCGTATACACGGTGAATCGATGCATGGAAAAAAAAAAGAAAAAAAAAAGAGAGAAAAAACGCGGACGAGGGGGAGCACCAGAGCGATCCATCTGGAAAGGTCGTGGCATATCGAAACGGTTTTCCAGCATGCGACTGCACACGCTATAGAGCCCCTCCCACGCGACCCCCTTTTCGTTTAACGCAGACTATATACGTGATTCTCGCGTGAGCACACCCCTTCCCACCTCTTTGCGCGTTAGGTTTGCACAAATTTGCCGGATGACCGGATACACGGGACAAACAACGCCTCGGTATGCTTACACACGAGAAAATCGTATAATTATACAACGCGTGATTTATGTCTCACTCCCGAGCCCCGATCTTTTTTGCTATCCATGAGATCGCTGACCGTACGGCCGATGCATGGGTGTCCTTTCAACGCAACGATGGCTAATTTTAGCTCCGCGGACCCGCCTTCCAATGATCGATACGCGCACCACGTTGCCTATATGGATGTACGACTGAGGACTATTTACATGCACCCGCGTAGGGGCGGCAATGCCACAGAAATCTGATCGTGTTTCCCAAAGACTTATGAAACGCAAAGCAGTTGGTAATGAGGGAGGGGAGGGGGACAACAAAAAATAACTCGTTTGATACATACCTTTAGAAAGAAACAAATCGATGAAATACCGATTGGCCTTTGTTTCTTCGCGTTTCATTTTCGAAAACAAATAACAACGGGACAAGTGGAGTTCGTTATTACCAATTACCTCCTATATAGGTACTCTCCAGTTGTTGTAAAGTAAAAAGAAAAAAAAAAAAAAAGAAAAAAGTAACCGAGGAAATTTGAAACTTTTACACGAACAATCGCAATTAAATGCGAAAGTAATTGTGCTCGCGCATACAATCGCGCTACGATTGTAAATTAAGGACGCTCTGGCTGTAACGAAGAGAAAAACAAAGGCGTCCTGTAAGTATATACATGCTCGTGTATTTGTATTTGTTTGTAAAATAACATAGGGTTTCGTAACGCGGGTGCATTGCAATTATACCTACACGCGCGTGTCTTGATGGAAAAAACATCCACACAACTATATATATATCTTAAGCACTATAGAAAAAAAAAAAAAAACGTAATCTCTCGAGTTATGGATAAAACATGTACCAAGACCTACATACGTTGGGGACAGCGCGCCCATACCGACGAGCCATGCGTGGCTTTGCGTAAGAAAATAAGCGTGTGCACCGAAGACCGGCAATTTTGTCAGAGGCTAATCAGAATTTCCTCCCCATGTATACACGCGACAGGCAAATCCAAGCATCCTCTATACATAGACTCGACGGCAGCAGCATTTCATAACCGATGCTGGTTTTCTAGATTACACGCTTTGCCAAAACACACACACACACACATCCTACCTATCCTTCATACATGCGAGGCTCATAATCCGCGGCGGGAGGCGCTTGCGATTTCCGCGCGTCGTTTTTCCTGGTTATAGCTTCGCGGCCCCTCGTTTCACCTGGCCCGCTCTAACTTTACCTTATACATTTACTGTCCGAGCGGAATATATATATTATACTTACGCCACTCCTTTTATCCGGTCGCTATATTTATCCGCCATGCGCAGCCGGAAACTTTTACTTTCCCTCCGAGGTGCAACACCTATATATATATTATGACGATAGATCGATCTTGTTTATACCATCAAGAGCATGTGTATTATTGCATGCAGATCCTTTTGTTTTTTTGCCTTTCCCCCCCCCCCCTTTTTTTTTTGAGCCAAAGCCAACGGTGAGTTACAGATTTTGGTGCTATTTGCGAATAATCAGAGGAAATTACAAATATTCATTTGATGGAAGAAGATGAAGCTCACTCGCGTCTCTGGGCCAAAGAGTTTTTCACTTGACAATTATTTTCTTGTCCATACACTTTGGCGAACCTTGTATACGCAATGAGCATACCAATCGGGGCAAATATATCGCCGAATCGAACGATTCCGCTGATGAACAATAATGATGAACCTTGAAAGTGTATACTTGGAATGATATACAGTGATGTAAAGAATTCACATATAAATGTATGTATGTATGTATATTCAACCGGAGTCAGTGTTCTTGATCAATTAGATAATGAGTCGTTAAGTATTAAACTTCCGTTTGTATGTTTTTGACGCTCGTTAATGTATAAACCTGTGGGTTTAATTTAATTAAATTTTCTTTTTGCCATCCAATGAGCGAGACTGCAATAAACTCACTTTCCTTGTTTTACACCGCTGCGATGATTTTTACGGAACTTTCGTAATCACTCAACAAAAACAACGTGAGCGATATAACGCCCTGAATCGTTGTTTTTTTTTCAAAGAGCACACAAAAGTTTGCATAACTTTTAGTCCTATGGTACCCACGCGGCTTCAACAATTACGTAAAGGGTAATGAAAATCCCCTTATTTTTCTTCATCGAGTGTAAATTCTTCAATTGGTTATACTTTCATCAAATTATTATATTTTCAGAGTGCATCCATCGTTTCGTGTATGTACCACACCTGAAAAAAAAAAAAAAGGACACATGGTGCTCCATGATTCCCACACAGGAGAGGCTCGACACGGGACGACGACAAAAAGCCAACAACGAAGGATTTTGCTCAATTAAGCAATAAGACACGAGCGCACAAAGAAACCGATGCTCCTTCGGCCGCGCAAGCGGCAGGTAATACTTTTAGACTCCCTTTCTATGGCGCCGAGGACGAAACTGTGCAATCGAAAAGTATAACGTCGTCGCGGGGAGTCGGCACGAAAGAGAGAGAAAAAACAAAAAAAGAGGAGCACTGCGCAGTTACAGGGGAGAGAAAGAGTTATAGTGCATCACATACATATATACATGTAACCCTCCGAAACGTTGCGCAACCTCTTACAAAACGCGACAATGTCTCTCCATCTAGCTCCTTTGCCAACCGATCGCGCAACAGACTCCCCTTATAACAATTTTCGAGCCGCTCTCGCAGAAGTGTATATTATACATATACCCCCCCTGAGCACGATCTCGATGCCTGTACTTCTCTCTCTCTCTCTCTCTCTCTCTACGTATTTGCTCTACAGAATCGCTGCATCTCGCGGAGGGAGAAAAAACGAGGCGGACACGTATGGGTGGCAAAAAGTGTCAAAACAGCTGATATAAACCCCCCGCGTGACTGCACATTAGTCCCGGGCGGATCTCGCGAACACAACATAGGAGAGCCTCCACCGCGACGTCCCGCTCTCTTACCTCGCTCGGCTGCGTTACATGCATGTGGGTATATATTTATTATACATGCACACAATGCACTTGCGCTCGCGGAGAGTTGAGCGGCCACGAGAGTGAGGGAAAGTGTTTGGGCCTGGCTGTCGTGCACGCGGCGCCTCGCGGTGGTATATAAACCTCGCCGCGGGAAAACTCCGGCAGTCAAGTGGTTCTCCATAGGCCACGTCACTGAGCCCGCGCGCGTTATCACATTTTCTCTCTATATATATACATATAGATATCGTATACGTATACCGTTGTTATGAAGTTTGAGGTAAGTGTGCTTTTTTGCTCTGTGTCGCGTTATTGGTCCCTGTCTGCGTTTGTTGGGTATTTATTGGGTGGGGGTTACTTCAGTGCACCGCGAGCGCTTTTTTGGTTGTGCGACAAAGTGAACGAATGGCCCATGACCCGAGTCTTGTGAACCCCGGATATGTTTATCAGTGGACATTGCGAAAAAAAAAAAAAAAAAAAATTGGTCACGAGCTGAGACGAGTGTTGGACGAAAGGGGTGATTAACCGAGCGACTTTTGCTTTCAGATTTGTTTGCTCCTGGGGGCGCTAGTGGCGTTGGGGAGTTGCGAGGAGTCGGGAGCCGAGAAAAAGACGGAGAAGCGGGGTATTCATTACGGGGACTACGGGCACCACCAGCACGAGCACCATGAGCACGTCAAGACGGTCGAGGTGATCAAGAAAGTGCCCGTGCCGGTCGAGCACATCAAACACGTACCCTACGATGTCATCAAGCACGTTCCCGTCGAAGTCAAAGTACCGGTGCCCCAGCCTTACACGGCAAGTAGACCCTAACCCCTTCGCGTTCGCGGATCCCGTTTCATTGATTTTGAACGATTACCAGACCCGGGGTTTCTAAATCGGTGACAAAGTTGGCTTTTCATCACGAAATACTGGCTATCTACGCTGGATTCATCGAAAAGCCCAGTATGAATCTTTTTTTTTCTCTATGCGTTCAAATTTTTACGAGGGCAAAAAGTTTAATCGTGCATTAATCACCTATTTTTTTGTTTTTCATTTCATTTATTTACGCGATTTAAATTGGGGATATTTTAGTGATCGGCAGAAAAATAACTTTTCATTTTCACCGAAAAACTTGATTGAACACTCTAGATCACAGAAATAACTTAAAATAGTTAATAAATTGTTTTTTACCCATAAAAAATCGTTTTACGGGCGCTAACTTCATATTGCGTATTATGGGTTTCCGCTTCCGAAGTTTTCCTACTTGACAACGTAACATTATCGTGCCATTTGATATTTGTAAAAATTAGTGCAAAATCTAATTTATATTCATTGCACTGAAATCAATGAATAAAAAATTTTTTTATGACAAATTATACAGTGCTTCTATTCAACAAGCGAAAATTAATCTGAAATTTTTTTATGTACCTATCGAAAATTTTGAATCTCAAAGAAATTGATTTTCATGGTTATACATAAAAAAAAAGGGTAAATTTCATCACTATCTTGGAACTCGGTCATGTCATCGTTTTAACCGCTTCATTTTGAAAACCTTCTTATTTAAAATATTATGTCTAGGTTGAAAAGCACGTCCCCTATCCCGTGAAAGTTTTCGTCAAAGTACCAGTACATGTGCCACAACCGTACGTCGTCGAGAAAAAAGTGAGTACAAAACTTTATTTATTCGTACTAGAATTTCTACAAAAAGAGGTACCCTTAGACATTTTCCAAAAAGACTGCCTAGTAATTGAGAAATACCAAAATCCAAACGCAACCTAAATCTATATGTTGTGTTGAAACAAGAGATTTTAAGAGGAAATAAAAAAAAAATTTTTTAAATGTTTTTAAAAAAAATATCTTAAAAACTTTACGGCATTATCCAGTATCGAAGCGTCAATTTATTTAAACAAAAATGTGATTTTAAAGTTTAATTATTAAATGGGCAGTCACGGTCTCATTCGGCGTTATTCGCTATATGCCCGACAAAATTTGTTAAAAATGGTCCTTTCTGACAAGATCAACATCTATTTTGATAATTTCGAATGAAAAAATACAAACAGTAGAGTATTTTTAGTTACTCAACAAAAATTGCAATTCAGCTAAAAAATATGTTGACACTGGTGTCTTAAAAAATTGTGTAGCCGAAAATTTTTTTTTTTTTTTTTTAATGAACAAATAACAGCCCAAAAATTTATTCGTTACGTTAGGAAAATCAGTGCTTGACTTACCTTACCCATCAATAATTTTTTTATTTGAGGTTAAAGTTAAGTAAATATAGTTTGTTCGCGCTACGTATTTAGTGATGGACATCTGTAGTTTGAAACAATTAAGCACGATCAAAAAATGTTTTTAACTCGCGTAAGAATAAGAATTACGCAGCAACTTAATTACAAGTGATGTCAATAATTTTAATGATTACAATTACAGTTAACGAATAATTACGTTAGTTAGAGAACATAATAACAAGTAATTGTAATGTTTGGAGTTTAATGTAACAGCCAATGAAAAGTAAAAACTAGTTTTTGAAGGACTTGGTTACAAGTAATACATGACCTAAATCCAAATGTAACCTTCCACTTGCAAATTTCTTATAACAGTTTCTTATAATCTTCGACTTGTAATTAATTAATGGACCTTGTCTATCCATCTCCGTTTCGATTTACCACGGATTTCTACTACGAGCCTGTTCTACCGTGACCTTACGAACATTCCTATTGCTATCCATTTTCACAATATGTATATAACAAATCTATCACATCTCACATACTTTAACAACCTGACTTACGTAAAATTATATGCAAAATCTCATTTCTTTTTGCCCTGGAAGTCTTTTTCAATACTTTCCTATCAATGATTTCCTCCCTCTTCTTCGCGATTTCCCTTTTTTCATTCTCACACGATAATTTGTGATGATGTTTCGACAATTTTGGTCAACCTCTTCGGGAAAGTGTGAAAAACGATCAATTTTTTATTTCAGATACCGTACGAGGTCAAAGTCCCTGTAGACAAACCGTGAGTATTTCAGATTGATTGGATCATCTAATTAATTGGTTGGTTCGTATTTCAATTTACAAATGACTGTTATATCCATAGATACGTAGAAAAAGTACTTGTCCCCAAGCCCTATGAGGTCATCAAGCATATGTACGTATTATTTATCAACAGTTGTAAAACCCAACTCGCTAACCACTTTCAATAACATTAATGAATCATTGAATGATATTTTTTAGACCGGTCGAGGTGAAAGTACCTGTTCCGCAGGTATTGATAATATCATTTGATTTAATTTAATTTTTTTTTTTTTTTTTTTTTTCATCATTATAATCCTTTTTACATGGTATCATTACTCCACAGCCTTACACCGTCGAAAAGCACGTGCCGTACCCAGTGAAAGTGAAGGCAAGAGTTTTTTAAAATAAATATTTATGCAATCAACGATTAAAATATGATTGCTTATTCGATCATTCATTCAAACTGAAAATTCAACTCCTCGATTGAATTTTTTTTTTTTATTGAAGTACGATATTATTGAAGAATTTGATTAAATTCTCAAAGGAAATAACACTAAATAGATTTTACAATAGTAAAAAAAAAAAAAACAATTTAGAGCATCTTATTTTTTACTGAAAAACATAATCATAAAAGCATTTTAAAATTTGTTACTGCAAGTAAAGCTCTTTAAATTATGTAATTATTCTAGTGTAATCTCTTCATCTATTTCAGGATTAAATTATTAAATTAAAAATAGTCAATATCCTCATCGCGATTCTGAGCCCAGTAATTTGATATTAAAAATATCTGGTCATATTTTTGTGTCCAGATAGGAATATAAGTTTTTTTACTTTATACATTAAACACGCTATTCTGAGATTCAAGACTATTTGTATTTTCCAGTCACTTTTAAAGCAGTATATCCATTTTTTCTTCATGGGAAAATATACATAATCGATGTGGTGGATTTACGAAATAACATATTCCCACTTACGAGTCACTTTATCTTCGAATCTGAGTAAAGACTTGATAACCAAAAATTTAGATCAAAAACAGTACAGGAGTTTGTTTAAAAATCATATTTCAATCGTTTATTGAAACCTTATCCAATAGATTATTAAATTAAATTGTTTCGAATACTAGGTCCCAGTTCCGCAACCATACGACGTGATCAAGCACGTAAGTCAAGACTACGAACTTATTACCTATACTATATTTGGATGTATATATAATATTTACTTAATCAATGGTTCACGTATGCCCGATCTTAGGTCCCTGTCGAAGTCAAAGTTGACAAACCAGTGCCCTACCCAGTCCCGGTAAATCAACCAATCACGTTATATTCAAACAATATTCTTAGTCACCATGTATTATATTTATTAGGGGTGTTTCTGTCTCTATTAGACGTAGAAACTGTTAATTTTATTCCAATTTATTTTCGATAAAAAGTTGACGAAAAACGTATAAAAATTTCTTGTTTAGTTAACTACGTCTGAAAGAAGATTGCACTCATCTAATTTATTGGAACGACTATTTTTAAAATTTTAACCTAATGTTTGATGTCTGATAGGTCCCTAAGCCGTACCCCGTCGTTAAACATGTTCCACAGGTATTTCTATTATTCATTTATTTTTATTTTTTTTTTTTTTTCATTACAAATACTATTATCTGTAATAAATATTAATGTTACTTTGCAGCCTTACACCGTCGAAAAGCATGTGCCGTATGAAGTCAAGGTATGATCGATTTCACGTTTAGTTTAACTTGTCCCAAAATCGTTTTAGTGTATAGATGTTACCTTGTGTATATTTGCATACATCGAACATCTGCCCTTGTAAAATATTACAATCCTCTTAATGATTACTAAATAATTTTAAATTTGAGTGACGAATTAAAAAACTTTCTTTAACCGTATGTAACCAAACTGTTTGTCCAAGAATATTTAGTTTTACAATGAATATTCAGTTGAATTTAAACATTTATAGAAAACTCGTATATTCTTTTGAATCAATTAAGACTCCGTCAATTCAATGACACATTAACTTCAACGGATTAATAAATTTATGCCCCTGACGTATACTTCTTAGAAGAGATATTCGAACCTCAATTTTTTTTTCATATGTATAATATTTTATCAGGTACCTGTTGAAAAGAAGTACACCGTTGAAGTACCAAAACCATACCCCGTTGAAATCAAGGTACGTTCTTTATTGAATAGTTAACGGGTAAGGGTGTATAAAAGTTTAAAACATTTTTTTTTTTAATTCAAATGTAGTTAATTAACGAGCCAAAAACATATTTTTCGTGATGATTTAAAATTTTTTTTGATGTAACAATATGATTAACAAATTCATTTGAATGATAATAGTATCCATTGGTTTTGATAAACTGTATCCCAATTAGGACGAATTAAAAATTTCGTGTGTTAATCATGTAGGTACCAGTCCCGAAGCCATACACGGTTTACGAGCATAAGGAAGTTATCGTCGAGAAAAAGGTAACATTGAATTTCGCTGCAATTAGTCTTAACGTCTTCCATGGGGCTACTTAAATTGACTGAATCGAAAAAAAAAAAAAAATCGGAGAATTTACTTTTTTTCTATCTATATTCTTTTTTTATAAAATTTTAATCATGTTCCAAAGCAGAAGTAACTCGTACATGTAATTTTATTCTACAAGTTTCTCATGTATCGCCCATTAATGTCCAATTTTTAAAATCTTCCTTCAATCTTAGGTCCCCGTCGAAGTGAAGCATTACGTTGACAGGCCGTACTACGTAGAAAAGGAAGTTCCCGTTCCAGTGGAAAAGGAGGTAATTTTTTAAAATATCTTTTGATATAACGTGTGCGATTTCATAGCAGGGGTTGGTCCAATCAATTTCGATTTATTAACGCTCTCAAGTAATCATCTTCCACAAAATTTTCTCCACGTATATATCAAATTATAAGTTTACGTAGAGCTGTCAACCACCAGATATTTCAATGTAGAATAAGCAATAATCATCCAATAAATTAAATAAGTTTTTTTTTTTAATGACAAAAATGATGCAATTACTCTTATTGGTTCAAGCACTGATGCCCACCGTCGCGTCTCAAAGTGATACCGGAGAAAAATTTGACCATTTTATTTTGTCTTTTCTTTCAAGGTTCCCTACGCGGTGCCGTACCCAGTCCACGTGCCCATCAAGCACGAGCACCACCACGAGCACCACGCGGAGGGCGGCTTCGAGCCCAGCTACGGCCACTACGAGCACCACCACTAGATACATCCGTCCGACTGTCCAACGGTATATAACCATCATAACTCTGTATTAAGGCCCTCGAGACGAACTTTGCAGTCTCTCCATGTCTTTTCCGTGTATAAAAANAAAAAAAAAAAAAAAAAACATAACGACAACAATAACATTAATTGTGTATATTAGCTATATAGGTGCGAGAGAGAGAGAGAGGTTGGGGTACACAGCATAAATATACACCGACGGCGCCGCCTTTTTCTTTACTTCGCACGCGCATTCCTCTTGATATACATATGCTTAGCTTTCCCCATTTCACTTACCCGGTATTTTGTCGCGCATACATTATCCATTACATCCATCTCAATCTAAAAAAAGTTTAAATTTTACTTCAATAAAATCATTTTTTTGAGATCAATAATTTCGAACGAATGTTAAATCAAATCAAACAGCAACTTACAAAATTCACGCGTAAAGTAGCAAAAAAAAAAAAACACAAATGGTCTCAACTCTCAGTGTTGAGAGTGAAAAGGCGAGCGGAGAGCGCATAATCGACCGATGCATAAAGAGCGGCAACCACCCTTTTTTCCTCGTTTCTCCGAACGCGCGCGCGCGTACATTGGGCGCGACGTCGCTGTGTAAATAGATCATAAGAAAATTATAGAGCCGAAGCTAGCTTTGTCTTTTTTCAAGTCAAAAACAAAATATACTTTGCAGTGTATGTATAGAAGGAGCATGAACAGTTATACCCATGACGACGCTGTTACACCTGCGTTGATTACACGATATTACCATCATCATCATCATGATGGACTTTACCAATAATCCTTGTGATCAGAGCCAAGATGAGAACGAAAATCAAACTTTTTGTACCTTGCTAACATTTTTTAGATAAATTTTTGTACTGTTTCTCTTTTCAATCCAAATTTGCTGCGTATCTATTTATATGCGCGGACAAAACAGTCCTTACCCCGCGAGTGAGCGACTAAAAATTATCATTGAGAAAAAAAAAAAAAAAAAAAAAAAAAAAAAAAAAAAAAAANAAAAAAAAAAAAAAAAAAAAAAAAAAAAAAAAAAAAAAAACGCTGCGTGCGCTGAGAGTCTGCTTGACGATAGGTTACAGCAGAGTATATGCACAAGTACCTAATGTGAGCGCGCGCACGGATGCAACGTGCGAGCGCCAACGAATTTTTTGTACCGCAAAATGAAAAAAAATAAAAATAAAAAAACAAAGAAAAGAAAACTAACTGCATTACAGACTTGGGATTTTTTTTTTTTTTTTTAACGATTTCTCTATCTCCGTCCTCCTCCCTCCCCTACACCCCCCTTTATTTTTCTATATCAAACCGGCATATCTATCTCCCGTACACGCGGTCTCGAGCGCGTATCAATTTCCAAGTGAAAACCGCTTCCACAGCTCACGCACCCGAACTAAATCACGTATCAAAGTAAAAGTAACTTTTGATAAGATCGGCGTGTTCGATGTACATACGCGTATATATATACCTCGTTGCAACTGTTTGGCAGCGATAATATGTTATATACTTATGCTTATACTCTCGTTATGGACGTTAATTAACGCGGCAAAACAGAGCTCGCGTGTCGCGGATCATAAAACACAGCGACCACGCAATCGAATGAAAGTTCCCGCGTGTTTTATTTCTATGTACGATTGCGATCGGAATCGGCGTATTAATTATTCGTGATCTTTTTTTTTTGTTTTTTTTTTTTTTTTTTTTTGTTTGGGCGTTTACGCACATATATACGGAGCTTGGCGTCAAAGTCACTTTGTCACCCGCGTCCTTGGAAGGCTTAGAGATGTACAAAAAATACCGATTTTTCGTGTATACACGTATAAACTCCGGGAAGTGTATAGCGCTTGGCGCGATGTACGCATACACTTTCGCGCGCGAACCATTTAATCGTTACGAGATGGCAATTAAATCGCCTTTGTATACGCGTTTTGCACGTGCGCTCCACGAACAAACTCTCGGCAGCGAGTGGTATAGGTTGCACATAAGAAAGTACGACTTTCTCCACGCGGGAGTTTCTAGCTGCACTTCCACCTTTTATATATTATTTATTGCCGAGCTCCGGCTTATACGTCACGCGAGAACTATCCCGAACGCGACTCTCTCTCTCTCTACATACATATCTCTTTTTCTGCGGTCGATCGATCACCTCCCGATGAGTATACGCGGTAAGGGATTATTGTTCCCACCTTGTCCTCTTGTGATTGTTCGGGAAAATAATCAGCCTCTCCCCATGTACACGCGGATAATATCGACAGAAAGCCACACCTGTATATATAGCTTTGCAGATCGCGGTATGCAATTTCATCGTTCAAAGTCGAAGTGAATCGCAGGAAAGTTAATCACCCATACAACGAGGTTTCAACGTTTTAGGAATCAAATAAGTTACCTCTTGGCAAAGCTGTCTATATATATAGGTACACTCTCATCCACTATATATATGTGGATGGATTTGGGCATAAAGGTACATCAGCCCCATGAAAAAGCGACAGATCGCTTGCGCAACTATGTGGGCTCGTTTTTATTCATATTATACCACATGTATTCCTGTATACGGGTATAATCGTTCCGCCATAAAGTTATTTCGAAACTGCTGTTGCGCGCCATGTGTGTGCAAACGAGCTTTCCCACGTGTATACGTGAAAAACTTAACGAAGGCGCGAGGCAAACTTCCCCACGATATCGCCAGTTGCCTCAACAAACGAGCGCAGCGTTGTATTAATCACTTTGGACGCGCAAGTACTTACATGTATATAACATCGGAAACACGCGTCCTTACGTCGTCGTGTGTATAACGCAACCGGTTGGACATAAATGTATGTGCTTTAGCATAATATATACACGTGTAAACGGGAGCTGCTATACAAGTATATATGTATGTATATAGGCGTTGCTGCAGTTTGATGTGAAAGTGAAAAAAATCATAAATATAGTGACGAGTCTTATATACATATGCTTATACATAAGCCGCGAGTGAATCGCAGATGCGAGCGAAAATAAGGTGGAGGAGGGATATGTCGAGAGCGTTTAGACATATATTATATCAACTTCCTCCCGCGCACGCGTGCACGTATATATAATAGGTATACACGAGTGTACATGATGGACATATATCGTATACGGGCATGAAGAGAGAATTACATGCCGTCGGTGCTTCCGCTTTTCTATATTATATATATTACATATTAGACCATCGGTCGATTCCTCGTGTTTTTGTGCGAGAGGTTTCGAAAATTAGGACCGCGTTTGATCGTAACTCGAGTTTTTTTTTTTTTTTTTTTTTTTTTTTTTTTTCATTACAAATACTATTATCTGTAATAAATATTAATGTTACTTTGCAGCCTTACACCGTCGAAAAGCATGTGCCGTATGAAGTCAAGGTATGATCGATTTCACGTTTAGTTTAACTTGTCCCAAAATCGTTTTAGTGTATAGATGTTACCTTGTGTATATTTGCATACATCGAACATCTGCCCTTGTAAAATATTACAATCCTCTTAATGATTACTAAATAATTTTAAATTTGAGTGACGAATTAAAAAACTTTCTTTAACCGTATGTAACCAAACTGTTTGTCCAAGAATATTTAGTTTTACAATGAATATTCAGTTGAATTTAAACATTTATAGAAAACTCGTATATTCTTTTGAATCAATTAAGACTCCGTCAATTCAATGACACATTAACTTCAACGGATTAATAAATTTATGCCCCTGACGTATACTTCTTAGAAGAGATATTCGAACCTCAATTTTTTTTTCATATGTATAATATTTTATCAGGTACCTGTTGAAAAGAAGTACACCGTTGAAGTACCAAAACCATACCCCGTTGAAATCAAGGTACGTTCTTTATTGAATAGTTAACGGGTAAGGGTGTATAAAAGTTTAAAACATTTTTTTTTTTAATTCAAATGTAGTTAATTAACGAGCCAAAAACATATTTTTCGTGATGATTTAAAATTTTTTTTGATGTAACAATATGATTAACAAATTCATTTGAATGATAATAGTATCCATTGGTTTTGATAAACTGTATCCCAATTAGGACGAATTAAAAATTTCGTGTGTTAATCATGTAGGTACCAGTCCCGAAGCCATACACGGTTTACGAGCATAAGGAAGTTATCGTCGAGAAAAAGGTAACATTGAATTTCGCTGCAATTAGTCTTAACGTCTTCCATGGGGCTACTTAAATTGACTGAATCGAAAAAAAAAAAAAAATCGGAGAATTTACTTTTTTTCTATCTATATTCTTTTTTTATAAAATTTTAATCATGTTCCAAAGCAGAAGTAACTCGTACATGTAATTTTATTCTACAAGTTTCTCATGTATCGCCCATTAATGTCCAATTTTTAAAATCTTCCTTCAATCTTAGGTCCCCGTCGAAGTGAAGCATTACGTTGACAGGCCGTACTACGTAGAAAAGGAAGTTCCCGTTCCAGTGGAAAAGGAGGTAATTTTTTAAAATATCTTTTGATATAACGTGTGCGATTTCATAGCAGGGGTTGGTCCAATCAATTTCGATTTATTAACGCTCTCAAGTAATCATCTTCCACAAAATTTTCTCCACGTATATATCAAATTATAAGTTTACGTAGAGCTGTCAACCACCAGATATTTCAATGTAGAATAAGCAATAATCATCCAATAAATTAAATAAGTTTTTTTTTTTAATGACAAAAATGATGCAATTACTCTTATTGGTTCAAGCACTGATGCCCACCGTCGCGTCTCAAAGTGATACCGGAGAAAAATTTGACCATTTTATTTTGTCTTTTCTTTCAAGGTTCCCTACGCGGTGCCGTACCCAGTCCACGTGCCCATCAAGCACGAGCACCACCACGAGCACCACGCGGAGGGCGGCTTCGAGCCCAGCTACGGCCACTACGAGCACCACCACTAGATACATCCGTCCGACTGTCCAACGGTATATAACCATCATAACTCTGTATTAAGGCCCTCGAGACGAACTTTGCAGTCTCTCCATGTCTTTTCCGTGTATAAAAAAAAAAAAAAAAAAAAAAAAAAAAAAAAAAAAAAAAAAAAAAAAAAAAAAAAAAAA